AAAATGAGGTTAGACACTTTTATGCTGTCAGCAAACATCCATTGAAAATGGCAGAATAGTTAAGATTAATAATAAAATTACAGTAGAGTTTGACAATAATGATAAGAAAGTCGAAAAATACATGTTGCTACAGTCGATATTTCAAATTTTGTACGTTTATAAATGATCATAAATCATCGATGAATCTTTGTCTTGAATCTCTCTCTCTCACTCTTCAATATTTTTCTTTTTTCCTCTCTATCTTCTTTCTCTTGTCTCCAATCCCACTATCTTCACTTCCCAATCACTCTCTCTCTCTCTCTCTCTCTCTCTCTCTCTTTCTCTCTTTCTTTCTTTCTCTCTTTCTCTCTTTCTTTCTTTCTACTACCATTTAAAAACGCAATATACAGTTACCTCTTACAAAATTATCTGTTGAGCAAAACATTGACATCTGTATAACAAACAAAAATTTAAATAAAAATAAAAATAAACAAAATAAAATAAATAAATAAAATTAGTCAANTGTATATTATAATTTTATATATATTATTACATACATTATTTATATGTTTAATTTCGTATAAATATATTTGTGTGTGTGTGTGTGTGTGTGTGTGTGTGTGTGTGTGTGTGTGTGTGTGTGTGTGTGTGTGTGTGTGGTGTGTATTATATATATTATTATATCTGTTATATGTATATTATATTATTGGATTCTTAGTATTAAATTGTTCTACCATTCCATTTTGAATTATTGTTCTATCGCTCAGAGAACTATTTCATATATGTATATCGTTTGTTTTGTTGTCCTTGATGGGATCTTTTCACAGGATATAACAAACTTTTTCTTTCTTCTTTCTTTCTCCCCCTCTCGTTCTCTCTCTCTCTCTCTCTCTCTCTCTCTCTCTCTCTCTCTCCTCTTCTACTTTCTCTCTTTTTGTCACTCGCTCTATTTCCTCTGACTCTATCCTTCTGTATATCTACTATCTATGTATCCATCTATCTCTCTTTGTCTCTCCCTCACCCTCCCTCTTTTCACTTTTTCTGTACATCTGTGATCCATTTAAGTACTCATCTATTTCTCTCTTTCTTTCTCTCACTCACTCTCTCTCTCTCTCTCTCTCTCTATCTATCTATCTATCTATCTATCTATCTATCTATTCATATATCTATCTCCAAAATTGGTGACTTATTTCTTAACTTCAAGACTAGTTGGTGACTTCAAATGTAAGCAATTTCGAACTATTTCGGATGCACGTAAGTTTTTGCCTCTTGAAACAGAATTCCATTGGATAAAAGGTCCGAGCTCCGATCCATGGTTCTGATAAATATCATCTCCCGAACAATGGCCCAGTTTAGGGCCAGCTTCAACGGCCTGACAAAACGAACAAAAGTCAAAACGGATTCAACTTTTCAAAGGGCAAATGATTATTAAATTTATCGATAAAGGAAGAATACAAAAAGTCATCCTATTTTTAAAAACTTTCATAAAAACGGAACGTTTATATCAAAACAATATTATAATATAAGTGAAATGTCAAGGGTCATGAGCCAAACAATTTGCTTCATGCATTTTCATTAATGCAAATTAGTGACGGTTGCACGTGCTTTCCTAATTCTTTGAGATTATATTGGCGAAAAAGGCGTGTAAAGTAATGCATCGGTGGTAAAATCGAAAATTCTGATTCTAACATATTTCAACTTAGAGGAATTTTCTTTGAGTACTTCTTATCAACATGGCTGGATCTACATGGCGATTCATTACTCGTAAAACAAAGTTGAGGTGCTTTTACACCTAAAATGCAACAAAATTGTTCGTAGGATCTGATTCTCAACTCTTTTGTCCTATTCAAGATCTTATGTTTTTCCACTATCTACGGTTTTCATAATTTACTCGTAGTACTTTTCATTTTTGGGAAAATCCAAAAAAAGCATTGAAATCTCCTTTAAGAAGGCACCCTTGTAGAACTTTCAATTTAATTTTTGGTAAGAAACTCACTCTTTTAAAAACTGCTGAATTTAAAACTGGTAAAAAAACTAAATTTTCAACCTCGTTGGAAAAATTCACGATATAGCTTGGCAAATTTCATAGCAATATTTTCGTTTAATAAGCTTTCTAGCAGTATACCATTTTCTTTAATTACATCGAATCAAAATGACGACCTTTTATGCTAAATTCGAAAAAAAGTTGTTACTGCGTTAAAAGGGGAGGGGTAATCTATCAATTCAACTTTTTCTCCGGGCCAAAATTTATTGTCCAACTTTAATTTAATAAAAACCCCCCACAAAAATAGAGAAAAATTCAAAGGAAAAAACTCCATAAAAAAAAGGCAATTAACATAGCGAACAACAGAAACAGAAAAATTGGACAAAATGTCTACACTAAACAGGATAAAAAAAATAAAAGAACATTACAGAAGTTGTAAAACCCAACTTTACCAAAAAAGCGCACAAAAAATAGAAAAATTCTACGTAAAGCCGAAGATCGTGGGTTCGAATCCCGCTCGTGCCATTGACTTTTTTATCTCAACTAAAAACCTTAATTAATTGTAATATATTGATTGGTCAAGCGGACCACGAAACTAGTGAATTGATTTTACGTAAAAATTAAACACAATCCATAAAAAAGAGGCAATAAACATAGCGAACAACAGAAAAATTGGACAAAATGTCTACACTAAACACTGAATTAAAAAAATAAAATAAAAGAACAACATTACACAAGTTGTAAAACCCAACTTTACCTACCAAAAAAGGGCACAAAAAATAGAAAAATTCTACGTAAAAATCAAACAAAACCCATAAAAAAGAGGCAATAATCATAGTGAACAACAAAAGAAAAATAAATGAACTTTTTGCGCGTTTTTTTATTAGATTAATGTCGGTTTTTACAACTTCTGTAATGTTTTTCTCTTTTTGTCTGTGTTTGGTGTAGATATTTTGTCCAATTATTTTTATTTGGTTGTTTGTTATGTTTATTGTCTGTTTTTTATGTGCTTTTCATTTTTCTTTCTTTTTGTATTATTTCTTAAGTTAAAGTTGCCCAAGACAATAAGTTGAATTACTTGATTAACACCATCCTTTTTCACATCGTCACTACTTTTTTCCCATTTAGCATAAAATTTCTGGATTTTGTTTCAATGTAATTAACGAAAATGTTATACTGTCAGAAAGCTTATTATACGAAAATATTGTTATGAAATTTGCCCAGCTCTATCGTAAATTTTTCCAACGAGGTTGTAAATTTAAATTTAGCTGTTTTTCAATGATTTACTGTTTGTTTTTTACTAAAAATTAAATTGAACGTTCCAGAAGAGTGCCTTATCGAAGGAAATTTAACATTATTTTTAATGATTTTTTTGGATTTTTTCAAAAATGAATAGTTCAAGAGCTGGGAGTAGATTTATGAGGAAAACCGTACATAGTTGAATAAAAAGTTGAATATCTGGAAAAGGGTTGCGAATTGGACCACGGTTCAAACTAATTTTTTTGCATTTAAGGTGTAGAATCACCTGACGACCTTTGCTCTACGGGTAGTGAATAAATATAATCAAAACGATTTCACAATATCTAAACGAAAGAGGAAAATCCTTCGGGTGTCATTGCGTCTCTGGCACCCGAGATATCGAAAGAGACGTCTATTTTAAAATTTTGATGCTGACGCGGACGAGGAAGAAACGCAACATGTGGGATTGATGGATTATTCAGACGCCTTACACCTACGATGGAGATCAAAAGATTTCGTAATCTGTTTAGCATGGGGTGCGTCTTGCTTCTGCGCCATGTGAAATAGACGCTTGTAAAATTAAAATTAACTTCCCTTCTGTTCTCTTCTTTCGAGAACAATCGGCCTTTTTTCCATTCTTTAAGTGAGAATTATTCAAAAATTTCCACAAGAAAAGGTTTCTCCATAAAAATTGTCCGTCTACCTGGACTCTAAAGCCTGGAATTACTTATTTTTCCTTTGGCCTAAGCTTATTTGGAAAGAAATTGGGCTTCTATTCGATTTTATTGGAAATGAAATTTAAAAATTGCCAGGACTTCTCATAATGCCCTCATAAAAAATATTTATTTGTATTGTATAAATTCACTTTTTTCCACATCCTACATGTTTTTCTTATATATAAACAATGTTTGTAAATCCCAGGCCCTGAAGATGATCTCAATAAAGATCGAAACGTTGGCACGATAAAGAAGTTTTTCTGAAACCTACATCACACCAGACCGCATCTCACGATTTCTGAATAATCATTATTACTGTTATTAATTGCTCGTATCAGCTAAAGATAAAAAAATCCATAAATAATTATCTTATTAACGATAATTATTTGATAAATTTATCATATTAACAGGCCTTAATGAGCACAGAAAGTAGAAATTTGTAAGGAAATACTGAATATAAAGTATGTTCAAGAATAAAAGTGTGTCTGTTTTCATATGATAATTTATTTAAACAAATATAAAACTGAAAAAAAATATAAAAACAAATCTTGGATGTTTAAATAATAAATAAATAATTTTAAGATGTAAAAAACTGTATATCAATATACATGGAGAACGATGGCCTCTTCGATTAATGTATGTGTATGAATGTATGACTTTTGTCTAATAAACAATTATCGTTTGTGTATGGACGATATTAATAAGATTATAAACTATCAAAATTGTATACGCGTAGTTTCCAATTTTGAAGGAAAAAGTGTCATTGACCTTCTTCGTGATGTCGGAATCTTTCTTTATGTCCAAACCGTTTTGCTACTTTTATGAGCGTTTGTTTTTCTCTTGAGCTCGCCTTTGAAAAATTAGCTCGTGACGAAGGAAAAAGTGTAAATCGTGGGAGAATCGAGACTTTCTTCAGCGTAAAGGCCAACTCTAATTCGGTCTAATTGCACTTTTTAACACAAAACACCATTGTGTATGAAAATGTGTATTAAAAGAAGAAGAAAGAAGACCAGTTTCGCAGTTGAACTCGATGAAAGTTTTAATTGTGTTCGAGAAGAACCCCCCAAACAAAAGAAACTCACATATGATCCGTATGAAGACATATCCAAAATAGAGTCAGATGCATTAGAAAACACTGTCAGTTCAGAAGTCCCGGGACTACTGGTCGTCTCGCACGATCCGAAAAACTTGGCTAAAGATCAGGATTTAATTTTAGCGAGGACTGGCTTCAACTCCAGCCCGCGGAGATAATACTCGGGGCTCGGTACGCTCGGGACGATTCGGCAGTCAAATTTCCTGTCGGATTAGCAATACAAACGGCCGTTTCCTACAGCTTTTACAATTGGTACAATAAAATCTGGCCCAACTTCCGCCGAATTTTGCCCTTTTTGTCAACCATCTGGGATGAGCTCATGGTTTCCACCTTGGCCGTCTTCGCAAGACACGTCATCTGTGTAAATCTATTTAAAAAGAAAATATTCACTTCCCTTCTTCTTCAATTCGTGTAAACTATTTATACCCTTTAATGAGTAATTTTTTTAATTCCGGGTAAGCTTAGGTTTATTTAAAATTACTAGAAGAATGATACATAATCATGTACGCTTCTGGTACGCTTTGAGTGCCCCCCTCTGCTTCACTACGATTTGACTTCTATAAATTATTTATTAGGAAAAGTAAGTAAAGTAGGTTCGAATAAGGTTTTCTCACACTCGATAATATTTTTATATTAAATTAAGTAAACCCGTAGACGACTGAAAGAATATGGATCAGAGACCTCTCGAATCATTAATCCAATGCTTTCTCCATAACAGCAGTAATGTCACACTCACAAATTTAAATCCAATCTATTGATATATAACACATATAATTGTATATATAAATAAACGAAGTTTAAAAAAATTAAATTTCAAACAAAACGTGGAGGACGAGACTGAAGGAAAATGTACCCAGTGTACGTTCACATTAAAAAGCAGTCTTCTCAGCAGTACATCAACTACAAAGATATATCGACTCATTTAACTTAAATACTTAGTAGTATACCAAAAAAGACTTAAGAGACAACTTAACTTACTCTGGTTTCAAAAATCTAAAAGTACGGAAGACGCACTTATCCATTTTTTGTCTCTAGTTTATCTTATAAAGGTGATAAGGTAGCCGAGATTTTCCTCGACGTAGATAAAGTATGATGATGACGATGTCCTCCTTGATAAGTTGTACACCCTGGGAATTCAAAGTAATGACTGGTTCAAATCATATTTATCTGTTCGCAATGTGTCCGAATCGCAGGTGCACTGAGTGGTTTCAACTTTATTGAGTATTCACTAGTTTCGTGGTCCGCTTGACTAATTAATATCCTTCAATTAAGTAAGGTTTGTAGTTGAGATAAAAAGAGTCAGTGTCACGAGCGGGATTCGAACCCACGATCTTCGGCTAGATACGCCGCTCTACCACTTGACTTATCGTGACCTCGATCCACTCGGACACTAACTTCCCATCTCAACCCAACCTTTTGAATTTTCCCTCCTTTTTGCCATTTTTCAAATGTCGTGTAATCGGATTGGATTCTCGACGACAAATGAAATGGCCACGGAGAGCTTTAGTGAAGTATACTTCAGATGGGAAGTTAGTGTCCGAGTGGATCGAGGTCACGATAGCTCAAGTGGTAGAGCAGCGGCGTATCTAGCCGAAGATCGTGGTTTCGAATCCTGCTCATGACACTGACTTTTTTATCTCAACTAAACACCTTAATTAATTCTATTGAGTATGGCGTTCCTCAGTGCTTTGTGTTAGGACCAGTTCTATTTATAAACGACCTCCTGGATGACGTTAGATTTAAGGACACGGTGACAGCGTTTTCTGATGACATTTCTATTCAGTACTCTGGTAATAGTTGATCAATCAGAGATTCAAATGCAAGCTGGCCGGGTCTGGACAGTTTCATTGAGTTTGAATCAAAATTTATTTTCTTCAGCCCAGTCTCTACTAATTCCCATCTGATTATTAGATTTGTTTCAGAGTCGATTGTAATCAAGTTTGCGCCACTTGCTTTAATATCGAACAAATAAGTCATATAAAATAGTTATCGGCGAAAGATTACAATGGCATGCCCATATTGATAAGGTGCGGAAAAAAAAGTTTGAGCTGAGAATTTATTTTTTACGAAATAAATGTGAAAGGGTCTTCTATTGAAGGTCTACCATGCTCTGGTTCAATGACAAATCCAGTACGGACTGGTCTGCTAGGAAAGTGCATATGCACGTGAAAAATCAGATAGTCAAAACTCAAAAAAGAATTGTTAGAGAAGAAGATGAAGAAAAATAACTTTATTCTGGGACTGGTGTCCCCAAAGAATGACATAAATAAAGGAAGTTCCTTCTATGAAATTAAAAGTAAAATGAGATATAAATCTTGGCACAATGGTATACCAGTAGGCAGGCCAGAAGTGAAAATTACAAGAATATTAAACAAAAAATCAAATATTAACGTAAGGTCTCTGCTTGGGGGGAGAGGAGTTGATTATACAGGTGAGATTTGAAGGAGGAAAAGGAGGAAGCGTGACGAATAGAAAGGGGAAGGGGTTCCAGAGTTTAGGGGCTCGGGTCAGAAAGGATCTTTCAAAGATGGGTTGTATGTTGCGGAATGATAAGGTCGATTGGGGATGAGCGGGTGTTACGAGTGAGATGAGAGGAGTTGAATTGGAGGACGGGTAATGTAAGGAGGACGACGAGTGTGGATGGACTGGAAAAGAAAGCAACCTAGGAAATACTGTGCACGGAATGAGGGGAAGAGCCAGGATAGTTAGGAATACAACCCCGACTCCCGTGAGGTGCCGAACACGAATCTTACGCTACAATTCATAATACGCTTTAATCGCGCGTTCCCCCCCCCTCCGTGAGACCACCGTATGCTACACAGCAATAATCGAAGAAAGGAAGTATAAGGGAAGATACAAGGAGTTTGCGGGTGGAGAAAGGTAAGAGAAGCCAGTACCGACGAAACAGGCTGAGGGAGGCAATACAATGACGGGAAAGGTTTTGGTCTAAGACTACTCCTAGGTTTTTAACCGAGGAGCAGAAGGAAATGGGATGGTTATTTAGCACGAGAGGTGGGATGCTGGGGAGGGAATTGAGGAGTTGCTCGGACCCGATAATTACGGCGGTGTATTTGGACGGATTGAGGACTAGGGAATTTATTATGTGCCCATTCGTTGACGGAGTTTAAGTCTTTTTGGATCTTGAGAATAGCCGAGTGTAGGTAGGAAGGGTGGAAGGATATGTATATTTGGGAGTCATCATAGGTGATAGTTACAGGACTGGATGGAGTCGGGCAGTCGTTGATATAGATGGAGAAAAGGATAGGAGAGATGCTAGAGCCTTGCGGCACCCCAGATTTTAGTGGGAGGAAGGCTTGGTGGCGATTGGTAAGGTAGGAGTGGAACCAACGGATGGTGCTAGCTTTGACTTGCAATGGGAGCATAAAACACTCGCTTCCAATTTAAAAAATACAATATTTTACCACCAGAGTACCTTTATGTATATAGAGTTTTAAGGAACTTTTTAACAGAGGGGAGAATAAAATAGATGTAAAACTTTAAATTTTAAAGTGAGGAACCCGAAGCAGTATTTCTCAACTTAAAATCTCTCTAGTGCTAAAACGTTTCTTGTACGGGCTCATAAACTTGCAGAAGGCTTAAAAACGTGCTGTAATTTTTAGAAAAATTCAAAACAAATTGAACAATGGCACTTCAAGCATGTAAAGCCTCATGTCGAATAGTACAATTAGATCAGTATGTGGGGTGAAGTGTAAATGGTCGCCTTCGTCGACGGCAGGTTTCCCGGCAATGTCTGCACTTTATTCCCCTAAGTCCTGGTACCCAGATAAAAGACTTTCACATTTCTGGATTTTAAAGCATCGACAGGGGAATATCTTGAACCATCGGCCGGTTTGAGAAGGGTTGACTGATAGGAGTGATCTTTAAAAAAAAATCATTCGTATTCATAGCGGTTGGTGACACGTCCTGACGTCGATGGAACAGTGCACGATTCCACTTTTCCACTGAGCTTGAAAATCTCTTGAGAGATTCTGCCTGTGAGAAATAATCACGCTTTCTGTCGAACACAAACCACCCTAGTATGACATATATTAAATATGTAAAAATTAAAGCGAAAGCTGATCAAATCAAACGATGCATTACAACTATACAAAATTTCATACGACTTTTCAGCATTTTGAGGGTAATCCTTGTAATATTCGGTATATCTGTACAATTTCGTATTTTTGTCGCGTTCGGTGAATCCCTTTTGGAAAATTCTCCCCGGTCCATGCAAGCCCAAGTAATAATGTTTGAGTTGAACACATGATACCTTCATGTTCATCTTTTGTAGTCAGTTTAATTTAGAAATGAACAATTAGAAATCTCTTAAACAACTCGAGGATGCAGGCCATTCTTGCCTCTCCGGCTCTCGTGGAGAATGTAAGTGATCCACTTATTCCTTCACTACCTCCTTAAGACGAAATTTTCGGAGTTAAAAGGCCTTGCGTGATATTTTTATTCCTTAGAACGCACTTACATGGAGAATTTATTTTCCAAAATCGTACAATTCTAAGGAATATTTTGAGCACTGATATCACGATTTCTTGTCCCCTAATTTTATATCGGAATGAAATGAAATATTACTTTGCTTTTTGTAAAACAAATCCGGATTTATAAACATATGATTACATTTTCTTAAATGTACTGATACATAGTCAGAAAATACATATTATATTCGTATTGTTCATAGGGAATAATAAATTGAATAACACAAAAAAAATTATTTAAGAATCATTTAAATTCAACAAAGTTGCACAAGTAGTGAAAATAGAAATGTACAAAAAATTGAGCAAATTCATTATATAATAACAGAACCTGCATAATCCAGAAACAGTGAACATTAAGAAAAAAATGTAAAATATGAGATATCTAGAATGGCAAACATAGCGGACTGAATTTAATGAAAATATAAAAAGTTCGGTCAAACCAAAGAGGAAAGAGAAAAAAAGAAAGAATTGTCCTAACAAGGCACATTCATCTCACACCACTTGTTTTCCGCTTAGCATAAAATATCTGGATTTTGGTTTGTGAACAATTACAAATTGTACACATAATGTAAAAAAAAACCTTTAAAACTTTAATTACGAATTTGAGTTTTGATGAATTTGACTATTTCTACTAGATCTCAGATACCGATCGGTCCAATGTAAAAAAAAGAATGACACATGGCATTTCTGGTGTCCCGATCAGCCCATGACAGTCACCAGTGAACTGTGGAGCTTTAAAAATAGAGAACGGTGTGGCCTACCCTCAGATAAAAAAGGTCTTAAAGCATTGTAATGATTATAGGGAAAACTATTTGAAAATCTGAGAGTTCAGTATATAAACTAATTTAATCTGCGTCTTCATATCTTTGTGTCTTATAATTTCAGATTTATTAGCAAGAATGTTGGTTGAATAAGTTTGAGTGAAAACAGACCTCTCGGCGAAATATTCAAATACCTCGACGGCCTGTTTTATTGATTGGTGTATGTTATGAATCTGAGTGGCCATTGGCAAAATATCGACTACACCGATCGCCCTCTACAAGTTTTTAATTAGAAATAGTTTAGTACGTATGTAGTAATACGAAAGATTGTTGAATAATGTATTATCTGTGAGAATGATAATGGACGATGTATGGGTATCCATGGTGTTTTAGACTGTAGATATGATGATCAGTTACCATCAGAATATAGAGTACCATGGTAACATGTCATGTTATATATAAACATGTAAAAAAGGAACAATTTACATTGTAAACTAATATTTACAAGAAAAATAATACAATCGAAAATATATAATGAATAGAAATGTACAGTTATAAAATCTAGAAGAAATAAAAATTAAAGAAATAACATAAGAATGAAATATAATAATATAAGAAATTAAAAATCAAACTATTATGATAAAAGTAACATCATTATAATGCTAATAACATCATTAATAAATGTCACATAAACATTAATAATATCAATATCACATTAATAAATAAGAATATGAAGGAAAGAGAAGAGGTTTTAAGGATTTTTTGACTTGGTCGAGAGAGTATTGATAGAAGAATGGTTGGTAGTTGAAAGAGTGTAGTAGAGTAAGCTGGATCAGGTTTGTGGAAATTGGAAATGTTGAAGTAACATTTTGTTGTTAAGTAGTTTATACAAGATTAGAGCCTCAATGCAGAGAAAGGTTCTCGATGTGTCCCACAAATAGATGCTTGTGCATTGGCTCCTTACAGAGAGCATACAGGCATTCTGCTGATTTAAGAATGGTTCTCAGGCACACAGTAGCAAATTTCTGAGTCCCCTTTTTTGCTTTTTGGAGGATATGGTTTTTTTATTGTATATAAATAATAAAAATATAAATCTGTTTTATGTGTTCTATGGTTATGCATTTTGTTTGTGTGTATATATTTATTAGTGTGAGTGGTGATGGTGAACTATTGTGTTGCCTTGTTTTTAGGGCTGATGGTGGCATATTTTTAAAAGTACTCCTCGACCCTAATTTAAATTAGGTTCATTACTATTGTGTGTAGGATGATGAAGTAATCAAGTACTCCACCGACTAATCAATGTAAGTGCAATGTACATAGGTGTAAATGTATTTATATGTGCGTTTGTATTATAGAAGTCAGTTTAAGGATAGATTATAGTTTGAAGTGTTGGGGCTGAAATGCGATGATCTCATGGGCAACTAGCTTAAGTGAGATACTAGCCCAACCCAGCTGCATAATGAGCTAAGTAAATTCTCCTGAGGTATAGACCCTAGGGTCAGCCATCCTGTAGTAACTGCTCTTCAGGATGAAAGTCCAATAGAGCCTCAAGTCTAATGTATCGAGATTCAAGTGAAATTAAACTTATTTTCTGCTGAAGGATGTCAATGTCCATAACAGGATATACACATTTTGCTGTGGCCTAACCATTTGTCATTTGTGCTGCATTTGCTCTAATTATTTAGATGTTGTACGATGAGAATTAGATTAAGGAGAAGCATTTTAATAGGTACTGGACAAGGGAAGTGCACAGGAGGGTAAAAGTAGAGGAATTAAAATCCTTGGAGCAGCGACAGATGAATTTGTTCGCTCTATTGGTTAGTAGGTTGATAAGACGATTAAAGAAGATTGGTCAAAGAATACCAAAATCTTGGATCATTTTTACACTAATTAATGCAGTATTATGTATGGAATAAGAGAAGGATAGGTTAGATCTAAGTCCGCTAAAAGTTCAATGTCATATAGTTAGTAGTTGATGCACCATTTTTCCAGGTTAGCTAGTTTAAACTGTAAATAAACATAGTCAGATTCAAAATGTGTTCTGTGTAATATTTTGAGGCCATCTCCAAATAGGAGAAAGTGTACATCATTAAGAACAGATGTGATATCATCAATGATGATGGTAAATAGAAAGGAACTTAAGAGTGATCCCTGGGGTATTCAGAATGAAACAAAAAACGAAAAATAATAGGATTTTAATTGAATAATACATTCAATTTTTTATCAATTGGTTTCTATTGGTAAGATAGAAGAGAAACAACTTAAAAGAGTGAGAGTAACCTTATCAAATGTCTTGGAAAAGTCAGTGTAGATGGCATTAACTTGTCAATTTTCAGCAAAGGAATTTAAAATAAAGTTGTAGAAATGAAAATTTTTTAGTTATGGATTTTCTTTTGTTGAATCCATGTTGTCGATGGTAGTGCTAAGTATGGAGGGTGATAATTTATGTAATATAAGGGATTCAAATGATTTGGAGATTAAAGAAATTATGGTGATTGGACGATATCACCACTTTTGTAGATTGTACAGCTTTGGTTAAGAATTTCATGAAAGATGACAGAATTGAGGGCTTTATTAAATATAAGAGGCTATGAAAGTATATTACTGCAGTAGCTTAAAAGAGAGAAGGGAATTAGGTCTGGTCCAGGACCTTTAGCAACATTAGGAAACAGGATTTGATAGATTACTAATAACATAAACTAATGAAGCATGTTCATATAATTGTTTGAAAATTTACTCTTAATTAATAAATTGCATAATTTTAATGTTTTTCAAGTGTGTTGACTGTCAAAAGCATTGTCAGAGGCAGGACAGGACAAAGTTGGTTGCTGTCAAAAGGACACTTTACAATCCACATCTTACCACTTTCAAAAAAGCAGAAATTGAAACTCACCAGGGCAAACTTTCTGATGAACATTCGAGGACAACTCTTCCAAAAGCTGTCGGTAATTGTCTTTAATTTTACCAGTGCTTCAAAGAAGAAAATGTTGATTTTTTGTGTAAAAATGTTTTGTCTTTAATTTTCTAGCCGACTTGCCTCCAGAGGTCTACTTCAATTACAATCCGTCTTGTTCGTACATTCCAAGATATGATACTTTACCACTGCCAACAAAGTGGATCCGTGAACACGAGATAGCTCAACAGCTATCGCTTGAAAGAAATGAAGAACTGAAGAGACACTACCTTAGTTACAAAGGAAATATTCCATTTCGAAAAGAGCGAATGGTCCAAATCCCTCAGACAAAGTGCATAGTTTGTAATTTCATTTTGAAAGAATTGCCAATGATTTTATTTTGTTTTTAGAAATTGCCATTTTTTGAACTACAAAATAAGGTATTTAAGGCCTGAGGAAAGACAGAAGTGGCGGGAACACGTGAAAAAACCACAACCGGAACTTCCGAGTTCAGTAGAAGCAACAGGTACTGGCTGCCTTTGTAAAGTATCATCGCACTCAGTGGATCCTCGGAAATGCATTCGTTCTAAATGTGATGAACTTTCAGAAACTGGATCAACATGTCCACTATAATTCATTGATCTTAAATAATAAATAATAATAAAAAAACATTCATAATTCATTTATTGATAGTCATTGTTAATTTTTCTGTTTTGTGGCAGCATTTTTTTCACATGGGACCTCCTGTCAATAAATATGATTGTTGAAAACAAAATTATAAATTGAGCTCGTATTGAGTAATTTTTCTTTCATTAAATATGTACATTAAATTGTACTATCAAAGGGTTACATTGAACTAAAATTCTAAACTTATTTTTCATTTTCCTCAATTGTTTAATTATTAATTTAATTTATAATTGTTAGGTCATAAATGTTTGAAAAAGATTATGAGAGTTTGAAAGATAAGATGATTTTAGAAATCATATAGGAGAAAAAATATTAAAAAATTATAATTAATGTTGTAAAGTGACATTATATGATCTTTACCAATTTCGAATCTCCGTTGAATAAGGCTTGAACAAGATCCTTGTCCGGTTTTCCCTGCCAGGTCCTAGGGATTTTTTTGATGAACTGAATCTTTGTCGGAATCGCAAATTTTGGAAGATTATCAGAGAGCCAGGACAAAAGTTTATCCTTGCTCATTTGGCTTTGTTCGGTTAATTTGACCACAGCGTAAACCTTAAAAGTAAAATTGCATAAATTAATTAATCCTGGCTCAAATACAGTGATTTACTCACTTCATACTCTCCCCTTGTAAGATTTTTTATATTGATAACAGCAGCATCTCTGATTTCAGGATGATCTCTCATTATCGCTTCAACCATTTGTGTCGAGAAATAATTATTACCGCTCCTGATCACATCTGTCGTAAGCCTCCCAAGAACTTTATATACACCCCTTGAATACTGTACAAGATCACCTAATGGATAATAATTTTTTAAATTTTTTTATTGACCTGGTTGATATTGGGTAAATACCAGTTTTAAACCAGCCATCTCTTGTCATGACGTCTTGTGTGGTTGTCGGTTTCCTCCAATAACCGGTAAAAGCTCCATCTGTTCTGACCTGGAGCATGCCTGAAACAGGCTGAGAAACACCAAGGACTCTAGTCCCTGACTGACTTCCTTCAGCAATAAGTGCATCGCCTTTTTCGGAAGTGAGCCTGACATGAACTCCGGGCAACGGTAAACCGACAGTGCCTTAAAAATAATCAATACCTGAATATAGGTATTTTACTGCAACTTATTATTATAAATGCAAAAGTTAATTTATAGTACATTACCACAAGTTTTTGTACCGTGAAGAGGAGTCGCCATTATTATACCAGTTTCGGCCATGCTGAGCCTCTCTTGAATTTGATGTCCGGTGTAAGCTTCCCACGTATCGTATATGTAACGAGTAACCGGCCCACACCCACAAGACATTAATCTTGATTGGAAACAAATTGCAATTCAATGTCATTTCATTTTCGACAGATATTTTTAATTAGTAAAAAAAAATTTCCAAACAAAAGTACAGACCTCACCTTAGTGAGGCAAGTGGTCCTTATGTGGTCAATCATCCTGTCCGAATGTTTCAACACGTTCTCGTACACTCTAATAAGCATTAGAAACATGTGGGGATGGGATATGAACATGTTCACTCGTGTTTCCGGTCGTTTTCTTACCCCTAGAAGTTGCAACCAAACATCTGCTGGATCAAATTTGTTTAGTAAAACAATCCTAAAAGAAATTTAAATATAAAAATCAAATATAAGACTTTTTGAATGTTGCTTGTTTTACTCTTAAAACAGTTAAATATGACTAACCTTGCACCAATGCTCAAAGGAGCATCGAATCCAAGCACAACGCTCTGTCCACGATGGTTGGGCATGATCTGCAGTAAGCAGTCTCTTTTGCTTAGTTTCCATGCTTCAGCCAATGCTTGTACTTGGGCATGAAGGTTGGCATGCGTGAAAATAACTCCTGTAAAAATAAAATTTTGATCCGTAACTACATTTTTACCTGAAAATCTAGTAAAAAACAGCAGAGAAAATTTTCAAGTTGTCTAGTTCAATCCAAGTCATTTCTTTTTTTGCAGATTTTTATAACTGGTTTTACTTGGTAGCAAAATTGCTAAAATCTTTTTCTGTGAAATAATATTTAGAAATAAAAAATATAAATATATTTATCAAAGACATTTTCACAGTAGGGCTTGGCTCCTCTACAGTGATTAGAAAAATATAAATCTATTATTATATATATAATAGCTGAATATGAATGAAGAAGAGAAGTAGGTATAAAGAGAAAGTATAAAAGAGAAAAGAAAAAGAGAATAGAAAGAAGATCAAATCAAGTATTGTTTGCAACAAAGTTGAAAGCTTCACACCTGAAAGCCCGAAGGGGGTGGGACGACCTAATATGCCACGGTAGGAAATTCCACAGATTCACCCCAGCAACTCTAAATGAATCATTCATAGATTTGGATCTATGGTGCGAGGTTTTGAAAGTATTTAAACTATGTGAAGAATTATCGAATAATTCATTTTTTTTTAATTTTTTAATTTTAACTTAATTTGGTGGTAAAAATATTTTAAATCTAGCATGCTGGTTATTATTTATTATTTTAACTAAACACACCAATTTATTTTTATGTAATATTTCAGTTGCTAGTGCATTTTAGACACTACTTAGCTAAATAACTAGTTCTGAAGTGGGACCAGGGATTGGCCCGAAATGCATTAGCAACGGGAATATTTTGCATAAAAATAAATTGGAGTGTTTAGTTAAAAAATAATAATAAAATAGAAATAACAAACATTCTAGTTTTAAAATTGAATATGAATAAGTATGATGGGAACAGATTATTTTTTATTTTAAATAAATAAATAAGAGATCACTTGTCGTGTGAAGAAATGTGCTCTCTTCTTTATAAATTTAATACGAATCTTGTGAAATTATTAAAAAATATTTTAATTTTTTTTAAGGAGAAGTGTGATTAAGTGAAAAAAAGTAGATAGTACTGCAATAAGTAAAAAAATGGTAGAATAAGAATTTTGACTAGTCTAAGTTTTAGAGTCGGAGAGATAAAATTATAAATTTCCAAAGTGAATTTAAAATCCCATTCTAGTAATAAAGCCTAAATCATTCCAAGATAATCTGGTACTAAAAATCACACCAAGGTTTTTTACCTAGTTAGAGAAGGGCATTAAAGAGCCAACAAGAGTAATGCAAAGAAAATCCTCAGTTGGGAAATGTGTATTGTAAATAATTATCGATTGGGATTTGAGTGGGTTAAGTTTGAGGCTGTTGTTTGAAGCCCAATTAACCAAGCTAGAAAGGTCATTGTTAATTATTTTAATGGAATCAGTATTAAATGAAGGGGACATTGTGTATAGATTTGAGATTGTTAGCGTATAAGTGAAATTTGGAGTAATTTAAACAAGAATGGAAGTCGTCAATAAAAATTGAAAACAATGAGGGTCCTAAAATCGCACCTTGAGGAATGCCAGACTTTGTTATCAAGTAGTTTGGCAACTTGTTTATGACATGACAAATAAGAGGATATTAATTTAAAACTAGAGTAAATAAGCAGGTCATAGTTGACCATCCCAAAAGCATTGGAGAAAATTTAACCTGAAAAAATTAACCTAAATGAAAATTTTTGCCTGCCTTCTAGCCTTACAAATCATTTGATTATATTTGTTTAATTATTATTAAATAAAGTTAGGTGACATTAAAATGAAAGCACTGCTTTGAAATATCTTCAAATTGTACAGCTTCATTTCAAAATTCCACTTATATAAATATTTAGACAAACTATTAATTTGGCACAATACACTAAAAAGTCAAATTTTCTAACAAGAATCTAAATAATAGATTTAACCTTTGGGTGCTCCCGTTGAACCAGATGTGTAAATAATCATAGCATCCTTATTTTTATAAAAACTGTCATCTTGGCCTAAATCGGTCTCTTTGAGATCTTTAAAATCCTCTGGATCTATCACTGGAGTGTCACAACTGTTGGCTGAAGGCAAATATTTTATAAGGGCTTCTTTTCTTTAAAATAAAAAAACAAAAATTATGAATAAATGTGCACACTTGTCCATAAAATAAATATTTACTTTAAATTACAGTCAATTATATGAACTAGTGTTTTTGTTTTGGCTGCAACATCTTTAGCCCTGGCTGCGTGTTCAGGAGCAGCTATAAGCAAACTTGCATCCAAATCATCCAGGAAATATTCCAGGGCAACCGTGGGGTGGAAGCAACACAGTGGAACAGCTGCAAATTTATATAAAGTAAATGAAAACAATTTTTTGTTGTATAAGTAGATATTTTCATACCTATTTGTCCACTCATCCACAGTGCCCACTTGACAATGACAAAATTTGCATCATTCGAACACATAAATCCAACCCTTTCTTGCTTCTTTTCATCGAGTAAACTGGTTATCTGTTTCGAGAGTTTGAGCGAGACTTTAAGAAGGCCTCCGTAAGTATACTCCCCAAGATTGTCTTCGATCGCCCTGCGATCCAAATAGTCGAAACCTCTCTTGAAAACAGGGACAAATTGATCAAACGTCCGGTATCCTCTTGAAAATATACGGACTCCAGAATGCAAAAGTTTTATTGTTTTCTCCATTAAAGTTTTGAAAAATAAACTGATATATCTAAAGTTTTTTTAAAGTAAAAATGCTCTGCCACCTTGTTATTTTCAATAATATATCATTATAAATTTCTGTTTTCACAGAGATAAGAAGGTTAATTTTAACCTAGGTTTTTTAACAAATCTTATATTTTCTTTCACGATTACATCAAAATAAACCTTTCATTTTGATTTTATACTGTAGCATTATTCTCACATGCTAAATATATTTGTCAAACAGCTGAATAAACTGACAAATTAGGTGTAAAGAAGCTTAATTATTTTATAACTGTTTGGTGAAGAGTATAAGAAGTTAATAGAATACAGTGGCATAAATTACTAGAACATAATACTTGTTGCAATGTGCAAAAAACTAATGTTTATAACAATCACGAGCACTCTAGCTTAATTGAGCAATTTGCTGTTTGCATCCAGCTTGTCTGTGTGTATGTGTTCTGGGCCAACCGATCCACAACAAATCAGCGGATCAGATTTTCATAATATGACAATTGGTGGAAAAGTGCTATGAAAATATCATACGCTTACATCAACTCTTTGTGGACTTCTGGTAGATGTATGATTCTATTAAGACAGCTTTATGTATCAATGGACAAACTGGGCATCTTAAAAAAAGTGTGAATCATTTTCAAAAGATGAGGAGGTTGAGTAAAAGTGTAAAATAGACTCTTTAGAGACTTAGAAGTACGTCAGCGACTCAGACAAGGGATGCACTGGCCGCCTCACACTTCAATTTGGCTTTCGAGACAGTGATAAAAAAGGTTGATCAGAAGAACCCCAGGAGGGGATTTTGTAGAAACCGAACCACTCAAAATCTAGCATATGCAGATAACATTGATGGTTACCAGGAGTTGAGAGAGCTTGAGGATGGTTTGTCAAGGTTGAAACAGGAAAGGAGGAAATTAGGTTTGATCATTAACCGCAACAAGATGATGTTCATGCATTCCACGTGAGGTAAATGGCAAGTCAATTCCATTAAATCATGATGGACTTAGTCCACTAAGTGAATGGAAAGTCTTTCATTGCACTGAATGGTAAGGCTTATGAATGCTGTAAGACCTTCAAATATGGCCGAGGTGTCACCACCTCTTTTATCCATATCCATAGATTTTCTATATGCATCTTTGTCGGAGGGATAGGCAATCTGTAATAATGGATTTATTGGAAATTAAAAGCCTGGGATTTGTTAGGGTTTAAAAGAATACCGTTATTATTTGAACATTGGTTGAGAGAATGAAGATCACAGTTGAGATAGCTTCAGAGATGTTGCTTGAATGACATTGAATGAATCTTCAGGGAAAATAAAAGAAACTGGGAGAAATTAAGATCATTTAGAAACATGGAAAAGAGTAAAAGTCCAAGAATAGAGCCTTGGGGTACACCAACGGAAATTGAGACAGAAGAGGATATAGTTTAAAGCTTTAACGCTCTGAGTTCAGCCAGACAGATGAAATGAGATTAGTAGCAAAAGAAGAAAAAACAAAATGATGCGTCAGTTTACAAATAAGCAAATTATGATTTACAGAGCCAAATGCATTGGAAAAATCAAGTAGAACAATAATAGTACACTTATCATCATCAATTTCAAGGCGAATATCATCTGAGACTTTTGAGAAGGGCTGTCTCACAAGTATGAAATTATTGGAAGCCAGATTGAAAAGCGAATAATAAATATAAGGGAATAGGAGTCGATTAATTAATTTTAATAAGTCAATTTATAAGGATTTTATTGTATTTTTCATTAATGTATAGGATAGTGTTTTATTCTTTATTAATGTTGAATTAATTATAAGCATTGTACTGTATGTACTTTTTCTCCTTACTTCTGTAAACACTGGGTAAAAAAGTCTGGAAACACCTAAGTTTTACAATTATGCCCCTCTTAAAATAGGTTATTTTCAATAATGAAACTACTTTTATTTTATACAACAAACATTAAACTTTTATTTTAACAAAATATAACATTAATGCATGGGTCCTCGGTGGCCACAACAGTTTAGGCGTTGGCAAGGCGCTCATCACTGTAAGGTAAAGGTCCCGGGTTCGAACCCAGCGGCCCTGCATTCAAACCTGACATACTTACAAATGGGCTTTTTTTCAAAAACACCGGCACCCTGAGGGTTGATATAACCTCTGCTGTTGCGAACCCTCGTTTAAAAAAATAAAAATAAAATAAATAAATAAATAACATTAATGCATGACAATATCTAACAGAAAATGTAGGTAAGAAAAAGACATATAAAAAAGTCTGGAAACGGTGGTAACATTATAAACATTAAGTAATATAGCGTAGATGTTCTATTAGAAGCTTGTTGGACCTCCTTTATTTCTTATTACTTCTAATAATCGTTTTTTCATTGATCCGACCAGGTTGTATGTTACTTCTTTTGGAATCCTCTCCCATTCATCCAGTAAAGCTGTTTGCAGCCCTTCTTTTTTGTAACTTCTCTTGTCCATACTCATCGATTAATTTCATCCCATAAATGTTTGATGGGATTAAGGTCTGGGGATTGATGAGGTGTCTTTAGTTGCCGTTGTATAACAGCTATTCCTTCATTCTCAGATATAAATGAACAACCCAGACTCAATTTATTGGTACTATGTTGCAAATTATTTCTAAGAATATGTAGACATGTCTATAATACCGTTTATAATGTGTAAGGCATCAACAACCTTTGCTCTTCATCCCCAGAGTATAATACCACCAACTCCATGTTTAAACGAGGGTCTCATATTTTTTGTTTCTTATGCTTTATTTGCTTTGATACTTTTTGTTGTCCATCTGACCCAAAGATGTTAAATCGACATTCATCCGAGAAAATAAAGGATTCCCAAAACGATGTACATAGTCTTTAGCAAAATCCAAACGGCAATTACGATTTAATAAGCTAATGTACGGTTTTTTCGGAACTGGGCTGAAAAAAATCACTCTCGTAACTTATTCCTCACTGTTTGAGGAGTAACCGTTACACAATTGACCATAGCCACGTGACAAGTTCTCAGCAATGATTGGAGTGCTAGTCCACGGTTTGTCAAGGACAGTTTTTAAAATTTGACGTTTATGCAGTTGATTCATTTTTGGTGGCCGCATGATACGTGGAATGCTGGATGGACCACCTAATACATTATATATTTTTATAATTTTTGAACCTGATTTTTATTAACAGTACTTCTAATTTCCCTCAAGGTGTTACTTTGATTTCTTAAAGAAACAATTATTCGCGAATGGGCCTTGGTACTTCCAACATAAAAACTAATTACAGTCTGAATAGATTTCTATTCTTATGACTTGGTTTCTGACGTTTGGCAGTTTGTCCTCTGTGCCCATTGCGAGTATAATCATTTGTTATTGTTGAAATGCATTGTAGGCTTTGTTTTACACAAGTATTTCCAGACTTTTTTTGCATTAAGGAGATGTCTTTTTGTTTCCTGTTTTTTTTATTAACTATTGGTGATATGCATAACTGTAAAATTTTGTTAAAATGAAAGTTTAATGTTTGTTGTGTAAAATAAGAGTACTTTCATTATGGGGAAATAACTTATTTTTGACAGGGGGAGCATAAGTGTAAAACTTAGTTAAGTGTTTCAAACTTTTTTTGCCCTGTGACCTTTTTTTAAGAAATGGGTTTTTGACCCATATGGTATGGTAATAAGGATACTAGGAAGCGAGGTTTGTGCTTCCCACGGACTGCAGCCTTCTGGCTTATTGTAGCCTCCTAGTTCCTTAGTTCAGTGCAATAGACTCAATCCTTCTCCTTGGAAGTATCAGGTCATTGACTGTCGCTGCTACAATTTGATTCCATAAGTTTTTTTCCATAAGTTAGGTTAAATCTCCATTGAACTGTTGCTTCGCATCAAAGATGATATGGGTAGCTGTTTCCTCCTACTCATTACATCATCTGCAGATGGGATCATCGTTGTATATGCCCATGTTGTATAGATGTTTTCTAAAATGCCAGTGACCGGTTAGTAGACCTACCACTCCTCTGAGTTTAGCCCTCTCCAATTGCAGCAGTGAGTTTGCCAGTCATGATGAGGATTGTTTTAGCATAAATTTACTATGTCTAGTGTCGCTAGAGTTCTTCTCCATTTGTTTTATTTGGATCCATTCTGCGATGGAGGTTTCTATATTTGTTTTTGTTCAGATCCTCCTATGGCCAGTCTGTTTGCTTTCTCATTACCCAAAATTACTCTGTGCTCTGGCATCTAAGATATCAAAAGTTGTTGTGTTCCTCAGGTTTTGGAGATTTTGGATGCATTCACTGGCCAATTTTGATGTGGTTTCTTTTACATGCTAATGCTTTAATGGCTACTTGGCTATCAGATCTTTCATCTTATAAGGACTTTTTGCCAGTTTAACCTTTTTAAGATTTTCCAGGATACAAGCATTGATGGCATGTATTTTTTTTAACAAAAAAAAAAAAAAGAAAGAACAGAGTAACAGAACGCCATATAGAACAGTGTCAAATCTGACTAAAAACGGCTGTACGAGCACGATATTCTCCAGTGAATTAAAAAAAAAGGAATTGTACAATTTCTAAAGGAAATAATAATTCAAATGTCTTTATTTTAGTTGGGGCGACGTTGGCGTGAAAGCCCGTGGGAACGGTTCGGGGAAAGTGCTTCCAATTGGCAAGCTTGACGATCCGGGTCAACGTTGATCACCGTCCACGTCCAATCACCAGTGTAATACTGTGATCCGAGGTTTGCGAACGTCTTCCGAGGAATTCGACTGGGCGCCGAGTGGCGAGTAGCGAGCCGTTGCGGACCCTCAGCCCATTTCTAACATGTGATTTCCGACCAATACGTTAATTGCGCAGTGACGAGGAAATTCTCGTTTTAAACGATTCGCCCCGAGGACCGGGCTAGTTTAGACTAGGCGTTTTTCTTTTGTTCTGGAGTTTCGAGCCGATCTGGAAATGACGGAGGAAAGCGAAAAGACGAGCGAGAGCGAAAGCGAGTCGGACACCATCGCCCAGACACTCGCTTCCTACAATAAACTCGCTTTGGACGAGACGAAACACACGACTTTAGTCAAGGTATAAACGAAAAGTTTTCCTTTTTCCACACACCAGAAACGATTTTAACTCCCTTTTCTTTCTAATACGGCATCAAACACCATATTTTCGTTTAACGGGGAGAAATTTGCATCATGCGGCCCAACAAATGGAAATAATAAAGAAAAGGTACCCCTACACCCCCTTAGGTAAAACAATGCTACAAGACTAAAAACTACATCAAAACAAATTTAATCTCTGGAAAAATTTTTGGTTATCCATAAAATAATAAATTATCGGTGATCTAAAAAGATGTCAAATGTCCATACGAGCATGCCGAAAGGAAGAATCAACCTTCACCAGACTGCATTGACCACACAAGACTGACCCATGGACAATAAAAATGATAAATGGCGGAATGAGTTTGTTATTAAATCTTTTTAAAAAGATAGTTCCTACTCACAGTAAGTTGTTTTTAATGATTCGGATTTCGAGGTTATAGCTCATCATCGAAGGAGTTCTACAACTCCTTCAAGACGGTAGATCTTCAACCTGATGATGAGCTTTACTGTGAGTAGGAACTATCTTTTTAAAAAGACCCATGGCCAATGTGTAGTAGGCCTCCTCCAATTGCCAACGATGCGAAGTAAAACTAGATATCAAACACTTATCTGTGAATGTAGCGCCTTTTTCGCACAAAGACTTGAACTAGACATACCCACAGACTTTAAAAGTCACACAATTTATTTAAAAAAATGTATCTTACAGTCCTTTTTACTTTAATACATTAACCTCATTCCTAAAATCACCAATTAACTTCATGAACTGGGGGAATGAGGATGTGCTGATGGGGAGCAGTTGTTACAGGCGATCCCGAGGCAGAATGCCCTGGACTCCCAAGGATGTGGACTTCTGTAGGTAATATTGTAAATGGTTTTTATCCACATCCCTGACAAGGGGCTTTGAAATGCCTTAAAATGTATTTAATGCAATAGAAAAGGCTTGGGGAGCCCTAGTTTTCCCTTGTCCGCTGGTGGCGATCGGTCTGCCGGCCTCATGCTTGTGTCTGGTGTTCTTCTCTTGCAGTTCACACAACTATATTTAAGTTAGGCTTAAATAACCACCAAGGTTGATAGCTGACAAATTAAAAAAAAAAAATCTAAGTAGTTTGTCTGGATTTATTTTTTTTAAAAAATTGCTACCGAAGTTGCATGAGTTTAAAAGGTCATACCCGCTTTCTGACAATCAACATGACTAAGCTTTGGTCATCTTTGATCATCCTGTCTATACAGTTTGGCCTGGTGTACGACTCACAATTCTAGATTGGGAAAGGGGTCTGACAGACAAAACCGTCGATGACCAGAACCAAGGTAGAAATGTAAACAAATCTCAAGAAACTAAATCAACTAAATTTAATTTTTACTTTCTGACCTATTTAAGAGATTGAGATGGTTATTTTCTAATCAGCTAATGACCTGGACGTTACACAGCTAAAAACATGAATTGACGGCTTGTGCTTAACTTCCTTAGTTCAGTGCAATTGACTAGATCCTTCTCATTTAGAAATACTAGGTCATTGACTGTCATTGCTGAAATTCCATTCCCTGGGTTTTCTTTGTATCCTGGGTTGTCTGTATTGAATGGTTGCTTTGCATTCTAAAATGGATGGTTGTTTCTTTCTCTTTATTGCATAACCTAAAAATTGAATATACCCAGATTTTGGCTGTCTCTCTCTGTGGAATAGAGGTCAAGATAAAAAAAATAAATCCTCATCAACACTGACAAATTCACTGCTGCAGTTAGAAAGGACTAAACATACAAGTAAGGAAGTGGACTGCAGTAGACTCATTACTCATCCGCATTTGCCCCACTAGTTAAGTTCTAGAAGAAAATGGGAAAGTAGTCACAGAAAAAATACTGAGTGTAATTGAAGTTTTATGGGAAAAAAAACTTGAGATATTCATACATAACATAGACGGCAGGCATGCGATGCATAAAGTGTGATAGGTATGCAGAGTGCATTTCGAGGTTTTTCCTATTATCCGGAGTGATGCTATGTATCCCATGTGGATAATGAGTCTCTACTGTTTACACCAATCACTGATATCTGAGAAAACATCACCATAATGAGGGTATATTCATAAAAACTATCTTATCTTAATTTTTTTGGTTGTCTTCGTCTGTGGAATAGAGTGGGCGTAAAGACAAAAAATAAATTTTAATAACAACCTATAGAATGGAATAAGAATAACATATCAAGATAAGTTAATACGGTTTTGATGAGAGTAGTTTCAACGTTATTAGCACCTGTGGAGTTTATCCACTTCTCTTGTCTTTTTTGTAGTCCAATCTGTGAGGGAGGATTTTGTGTATGTTTTTGTAATCTGAAATAGGTTCGGGCCTTTGGAATTGCAAATCCTCTGGCCAGTGTGTCTTCTTTCTCGTTAAATAAAATTCCCTTGTGTACTGGTATCAAAGATATTTTTTCCCAGGTTTTGGATGCATTTATTGACTAATTTTGATGTGATTTTTTTAAACGCTAATGCTTTAATAGCCTGGATTTTTTTTGCCAGTGTAACCACTTTTACAATTTTCTAAGTTACAAATATTCGGTGTTTAGTGACTGTTAGTTAATGATTATTTAGAGGACATGAGATGCAGTCTGGTGTGATGTGAGTTTAGAAAAATATTTTTATTATCGTGCCAACATTCCAGTCTTTATTGAGATCATCTTCAGGGCCTGGGATTTATAAACATTGTTTGAATTTTTCAATTAATTAAGGTTTTTAGTTGAGATAAAAAAAGTCAATGTTACGAGCGGGATTCGAACCCACAACCTTCAGCTAGATTCGCCGCTGCTCTACCACTTGAGCTATCGTGACGTCAATCCACTCGGACACCAACTTCCTTCGTGTAATCTGTTTGATTCTCGGCGACAAATAAAATGGCCACGGAGAGCTTTAGTGAAGATATACTTCATTTAACTCATTAAATTCACTAGTTTTCGTGGTCTGCTTGACCAATTAATATTTTTCAATTAATGAAAAATGGCAAAATGGAGGGCAAATTCAAAAGGTGAGGTTGAGATGGGAAGTTAGTGTCCGAGTGGATCAAAGTCACGATAGCTCAAGTGGTAGAGTAGCAGCATATCTAGCTGACGGTTGTGGGTTCAAATCCCGCTTGTGACACTGACTTTTTATCTCAACTAAAAACCTTAATTAATTGAAAAATATTAATTGGTCAAGCAGACCACAAAAACTAGTGAATTGTTTAAATTATACAAATATGTATCAGATATTGATATGAATTTATACAATGAAGTGTACAATGTACAAATAGAATGTTTAGGTTTAATCATAGTTTGAGTGCAAATTATTAAACCTAAAATTATGTTATCATTATGTTTTAGCAGTCTAATTGACCAAATTACTTCTTTCAATTAATTATTCTTTTTATGTAAGGTCTTGGTTGAGATAAAAAAGTTAGTGCCACGAGCGAGATTCAAACCACCAGACGAAAGTCGTGGGTTCGAATCACGCTCGTGACACTTTTTCATCTCAACCAAGACCTTACATGAAAAGAATAATTTAACAATGTTTATAAATTTCAGGTTCTAAAGATGATCTCAATAAAGATTGACAACTATTCATTAGGTGCAGATAAAATTTTCTCTATTTCAGTACACCAGATATTTTTCACTATGTATAAAAACACATGGCATTTAAAAGGAAACAGTTTCTTTCTCAACTAATTTAATTATACACAGTTTGTCAAACTGGAATATATACTTGTCTCATTTTGCTAAAATTAAACATCCATTTTCTTGAAGGATTTTATTCTTGAAGAAATTGTTTAATTCATAAAATTCTAGTTAGCTGTTCAGTTTGTTTTTCTTAAGGTTTGATCACTTAGAACCAGCTGTGATGTCTGTTGACATAGTAGATGAGATACCTGGATTGTCTGATGGATGAGAAGTAGCCTTTTGCTTTCCAATTAGAAACTTAAATTTGTTGTAGACCTGACATTTTACTGAGTGAGTCACTCTTTACCCAATCAACTCCCTGGTGTGTCTATTGTGGTTCTGGTTTGATGTGAATGCTGCACGTTCTTTTGCAAGTTTGTCGACCATATTTCCTTAGATACTTTTATATCCTGGGGCTTGCATTAATTTGTGTACTTTCCCTGGTATTGGAGATGGTTAGTCAATCCAAAACCGACTTGGGCCAACAGTAAACGTATGTAATACCTCTTAATATTTCCTACGCATGAAATTGAAAAATTATGGGTGTTGTCAAATTTTGTAGTGTGCTTTTTAAAGATATCTTGTCAAAATGGGCGATTTCTTAAAAAGGGAAAACATGATTTATTTGACATTCGCTTTCATTTTACATTTCATCCATTCATTATTGCAGTTGTATCCATTAGATATTCACTAGTAACAATTTGGAATTGTATCTGCTATTATAAATGAGCAGATTTCCAGATCAAAATATGATCTAATCAAGGGTAGAATTACATTTCAATTAGCTTAATAAATATCACATTTCTTCATATTCATTTTAGGATAAAACAATGGTACAGTTCCTAGCTTACTGTTTGGATTCTAACGATAACAATGCTCTAGAGTTATCTCTTCGAACCCTAGATCTCCTTGCCCAGAATCCAAAAAACAGGCAAGAAATGAGTTCTACATTTGGAGTTCTTGAAGCTCTTAAAGCCACCTACGAAAGGTAAAAAAAGGCATTTTGTAACGAATGTTTAGTTTTAGAATGTGTTAATTTTGTTTTTAAAAAAATGTTTGAAAATAATAAAAAAAAAGTATCTTTTGTCTTGCTGCACAATTTTGTTCAGAGTATTAAGGAATTTGTGCAATATGACACTTCATTATTTATAAAATGGCACCCTACAACACAGCAAAAGCACATTGATCACTCATAGCATTATCAGTTATAATAAAAAAAAAAACTAAACTGTACAAAAAATTGAATAATTAACATAATAGGTCAACACAGGTGAATGAAATCTTGAAATATGGGTGTTTTGAAATTAGTGAAGTTTTTATATTTAGTGCAGCAGGGTTTTTGAAAGGTTGTACCGACATATCAAGACATATCGAATAGCCAACAATAATTTTATGATTAATCTAATAACTTTAGAAGTAATACAACATAAATTTGTGATTTTTGAAATAATACAAGAAGAATTGCAGTTTTCTTGCTAGTTAAACCTCCGGAAGACAATGGTTTTATCTTTAGATTAGACTTTTTTCCCCTTACTTCACTTCAATAATCTCATATTTGTGTTAAATGATAAGTTTAACATTTAATTGTAAATTATTTACAATAATTTTACAGTCTATTTTATTTTCATAACAAAATAGTATATCTTTTCAATAAGCTTATTGTGGTTCTTCTATAAAGAAGCTAATTTATTACTAATCAGCAGACAAATATAAGAATATTGTCGAGTATAAAATTATCTATAGAATAATATGTTGTGTGTAACCATACTTTTAAATATTCTCATTTAAAAGTAAACAATTAATTAATATCGATACGGTTTATGTACACTCAAAGGCAAAAACTGGCCACTTATATTTGTTTATTAATGTAAACAGCATTAATAACTTATTTTTAGCCTTTAGTGTTATTATTTTGTACACTCTTTAAATTAAAAATTAAAAATAATGTCAATTTCATCCTTTCCAGAGCCAACGAGTGAGTTATTTACTTTGTTAAATTGTTTCCTTTGATGCAACAGTAAATATGAGTAAAACATTAATTATTCCTTTTTTTTCTTAAAACTATGGTTATTTTGCCGGGACAAATGCTTTGACCAACAATGACATAGTGTCCGTTATATAGCCAAGTCCTGGGTGTGCTATGCTCTACCAAGATGGCCTACAGCAGTTTAGGGCTACCAGAAGTCTTGATGGGAGAGAAGGTAGTGGTCATCCATGATGTATAATGGCTAGAGACGATCATTCTATTGCTCTTATCGCACTATGGCACTATCATTTAACGCCTACCTTGATAGGTAGTCAATTAAATGTTCATAATGAAAGGATGAGCTATAAAGCAGTCATGAGCAGGATTCGTGAGAATAGCCTAGTCTTTAATCTGACTCAGGTTTTCCACTACTGGAGGGTCATTGAGCAGAAAGGTGACTATTCGCAAAACACCATCTCGCTTTTACACTTGAACAATGCGGGTTCTCATCATTTTTTACAAACTTTAAACAAGTTTGTACAAAGTTCTCCCTGAGTCCTGCAGCTAGCTTATTGTACTTTCTTTTTGGGGGCTCGCAACACGCATGTGAATTTGAGCCCCCGGCATGCTGGTGTTCTTCCATCGAAGAAACCCATTTTTGAAAGGGGTTGGGACCAAATTCAGGGACGCTGAGGTCCGATGCCGCCCAAGACCTTCCATTGATGAGTGCCGTGCCAATTTCTTTCAATTGTGGCCACTGGTCTCCTTAGGTGTAAGAAAAAATGTCCAGAGGCGACGGTGGGCATTAATCCCACAACCACAGGATCTACTAGCCGAGAGTCTGATGCCTTAACCACTCAGCTACCGCTGCCTCCGGCATTCATCTATGAGGTTGGGTTTGTGGCAATGAAATTACCTGGACCATGCAGGCACTAAACTGATTATCATACAGATCTTTGACTGCACCGAGATAAATTGAGGATCTTTTGCTCCAGTTATTGGAGACAACTTCGTGATGCGTGATAATGCTCAAGCACATATAGCTCGAGTTGCCACCCATTACTTAGAGGATACTTGGCCAACATATTCTTCTTGTATAAATCCTATAGAATACTTGTTAAAGAGATGGATTAGACATCATTTCCTACCTTACACAAGCGTTGAACATCTTCAAACTGTTTTTTGAAGAATGAGAGTTTCACAAGACAAAATCTGATAGTTTACTTATTTGATGTCTAGGAGAATTAAATCCCTCCAAGAGGCCAGAGGATGGAAACGATTATGATTACAAGCAAAGCCAAGTAGTAAATTGTTCGTTACATTTTAATCTATAAATTCACTAATTTCGTGGTCCGCTTGACCAATTAATATATTATAATTAATTAAGGTTTTTAGTTGAGATAAAAAAGTCAATGGCACGAGCGGGATTCGANTTTGGTTTACATTAAAATAAGAATTTAATTAATATAAAGATAAAAATACAAATAGTTTGAAATAAATAACAAAATACAAGTGACTTTTTTTTTGTCTTTGAGTGTATGTGCATGCCATTGCATGTTTATTATTTTTATTTTTTTTTTAAACAAAATATTAAATTTGATATTGGTTGCAAATTGTGCAATTGTTTTAGGGACATACCAGAGGATCTAAGAAAACTTGCAAAGAATGTGAAAACGATTTTGGAAACACCAGTGACCCAAGATTCATTTAACCAGCCTGCTAGGCCTTCGCTGTTGGGAGACCATAATTATAGTAAAAAGTTTTCATCCATTGTCTTCTCATTCCATGTCTTCGGTCTTAATAATGTTATTATTTTATTTTTATTTTAATTATAATTAATTTTGTCATTTTATACATAAGTTCTTCCGTAGGACTCTAGGGATAACCTTGAAAGCGCATTAGTGAGAGTCAGAGGTGTGATCTCGGTTGTTGTGTATCCGGATCATCAGCGTTGTATAGTCAGAGTTATTGAAAGAATAACTGCTGAAATGTTAGCAGAAGCTATTTTGGACAAAGCAGGATTGATAGCTCACCTCGTCGTGAAAAATAAAAATAATCAAGAGGTAATTTCATATAATTATAATTAATTCTATTGACATTATAAATGCTTTGACTTTTCCTTCAGGTCTTAAAAGATATTCTTGGCAAGAAAAAGATTCAAACGTTAAATTTGGGCGGAAGGGGTGATTTGAGCCCGATAGCCGAATATATCGAAGATGCCGAAGAAAAAAACCTATCGGACGATGAGTTACCTCCTTACCTGCCTGAGGAAGAATCTCCGGTCAAAGAGAAGGCGCTGCACCCGTTCGACCGGTTTAGAACAAGCGCTGCCAGTTGGGTCAAAACGGCCACATCGTTATTCCAGAATTCGTTTTACTGGTGAATTTACAAAATAAAGAAAAACCAATTTGTATAAATTCAACTGGCTGTGATCTTTGCTAGTGAACATCATTAGTGAATAACATCTGACTGCGCATTGTCATAGAATCGTCCAAATTTCTCGTCGATTTTTTAAGTAAAGTAAAGAAATTTTTTTTCACAAATTTGCGCCATGTAGAATAAAGCTTTACATGTTTTGAATTCAGCTTATAGAAAATAATTTTTCTATTTTTCCTTAATTTCCTTTTAAAAAAGAAAAAACTGCATTTTTTTTTTTTGTAGCAATACAATTCTTGTTTTGTATCATCGTTATTTTGTACACATATATTTTTTTATAGTGCATCAACCAAATTGATAAATTTAGTACATTTACATGGATTTCTTTTATTTTTGTCTTGAAAATATTAAATATTGGCCATTTGTAATGATTTATAAATAAAAAAGTCTAAAACACTACACACTTACAATTAATTAATTTAAGTTTTACACTATTAAAAGCAACAATTAGTTAAGTAAATATTTGATTTCTTTTATATTATATAATAGTTTGAAAAGAAAGAAAACAAATTCTCTGTTATAAATCAAGAAAGCAGGTCTTCCATGCATTCTGCAACTGATGAACTGGATCATCTTGGTGAAATATAGGTCCGGAAGGTAAAAGGCGAATGGGGTGGCTAAAGTTGGGACCTCGCAACCTCCAGAACAAAACACCACGATCTTTGATGAGAAGCTCTTGTGTATCAAGAGCGATAAATGGCCCTGGGTACTTGAGTTGAGGGATCATACCCAATAGTATGCCACAGTCAAAGATTATGTGATCCCGGGTTTCTTTCGATCCTGCTTGGCATTCGCAAGTTGGGTCGTCGATCACGTGTATTGGAAGAGATATGAAACTCTGCCATGCCCACTCAAAAATGGAGTTGTTTTGAGTGGGGAAAGTTAGCCTTTATTCTTCCCGACACTGTTGGAAAGAACTTGGTATGCGACGCTTGCTCTGTTGTGATCCATGCAGTATTTGCATTCGAGTTTGGTATTTCACATAATTTGGAGATGCACAACAGAATTTCACGTCCATCTCTGTGTCCATTGCAGCATCTTTTGTCTCTCAATCTCCAGCCTCATTTCCTCTGTTTTGACCCATGTAAATATTATTGTCAAGTATTTCAGATTTCTTTTGCTCAGATGAGATTGACGATTCTTGTTTTGCACGTTTTGCAGGATGTCTAGGGCTACCAGACGGTCTGTTTTAATGATCGCTGTTTTTGCAGCTTTCCATTTTTCATCCTGAGCTGCAATCCTTTATCCAATTTTCTTCCAAAGTACACTGACAGGCAAAACATTCCGCTCACTTGTAATGTAAATTGATTTGCATATATTTTTATATATAAATCAAAGTTTCAGGTTTTTTAATGTTTAATAATGTCTAAAAAAACGTTTTAAAAAAAAATGTAAATTGCTAAGGAAAATAAAAAAAAGCTGGACAGATAAAATTGTTTTAATTGGGTTTAGATTTTTAATTAACATTTCAATATCGCGTATTTTCTCCTCTTCTCTTAATTACAAATCGTAATTACAATTCTGCCAGTCTGGAAATGTCTCTTTGCTGGAGGTTAGCCCATTCTTCACAAAGAGTCCTTTCAAGATCATAGAGTGTATCAGGAAGTGATGGACGTTATTCCTCTTTTGAGGTTATCCCATAGACTTGTTTAAATCTGGAAAACGGGCTGGCCAGGCTAAGGCCATGATTTTATGCTGTTGAAGATACGTTTGTACTAACTAGCGACATATAGACGGGCATTATCGTGCATTAGAATAGGATTGTCGCTGATTTCATTGAAGATAGACAACGCTGATGTTCCAAAATTTCATCCACTAGCGACAATCAAAGACCCTCCACGAACAACAACCAACTCTATACGACTTTCCATTAAAATTCCCGCCCACACCATCATTGAGCTACATTGAAAAGGTTGGCTCTGGGAAAAATGGCCTTTCTTTCGCCATCTCCACACTCTTTCATGCCCAATTGGAGATCGTAGAGCAACTCCACACTCATCTGTAAATCTGTAAAAAGTACAGCAGACCAATAGTCCAAAATCCAATGGCTGTGTTCTCGAGCAAATGCGAGCTGTGCAACTCCGTGTGTTCTGGTCAATTCTGATCCTCTTACAGGGCGAAAAGCCATCAATCCATACTGATTTAATCTTCTTCGAGCAGTGCGTTCAGAAATTTGGACACCTCCAACTTCCTGGAGCTGATGAATCGTCTGTACAACAGTAAAGTGCTGGTTTTGCAAAATGCTCAAAGTCAACAAACCGTCATCTTGTGGTTCTGTTACCCTAGGGTGTCCAGAACCGGGCCTCCTGTGAAAGGACTCAGTTTCTTGAAAATGTCTAACTGCGTGTCGCAGTGTTTTGAAAGTATCTGGCAATAGCTGCATATCTGATGGAACGTCATCAATATATACCACACTACACACATCCTCAGCACTAAGTGGTATTTTTAAATTTAAAAATTGAAATTAAGAAAACAATGATGAAAACTAAACAGTTTATTGCTCCAGAATTCAAATGGGACTGAATAAACATTTAAAAATCCTTTATTCTTGTTTTCTTCTAGGGATTAAGTGTGTTTACCTCTAATTGATATTCCTCATTTAAAACAAATCATAAACAAATATTTACTGATAAAAACAAAGAGACAAATTAAGGGCAGAATTTTCTTTTGTCGAGAAAATAAAATAAAAATGAGTTGGATGGAATTTTTTGCCTGTCAGTGTATATTGCCATTGATCAACCAATTGTAAGCTAATGAAACAGTAATAGTGGCCCAAGTGGTTAGGGCATCTGAATCTTTTTTGCCACACTAGAGGTGCGGGGTTAGAAGCATAAAACATGGCTTTTTAATTGACTATAATATGAAGACTAGGGAAAAAATGAAGGCGCATTGTTCTTCAAGGCTTAAATGTGTTGCGGGGTTTGCCTACCTTCGTGTTCTCAACTTCGCCACGAAAGATAGATAGGCTATCATTAAAACTGGATTTGTATGGCCTTATAAAACTTATAGTCGATTTTATTATTTTTATTTTTTACTTCTAAACTATACTTAATTTTAATTTCAATTAATTAAGGTTTTTAGTTGAGATAAAAAAGTCAGTGCCACGAGCGGGATTCGAACCCACGATCTTCGGCTAGATACACCGCTGCTCTACCACTTGAGCTATCGTGACTTCAATCCTCTCGGACACTGACTTCCAATCTCAACCCCACCTTTTGAATTTTCCCTCCTTTTTGACAATTTTCAAACGAGGTGTAATCTATTTGATTCTCGGCAAAAAATGAAATGGCCAGTCGCCGAGAATCAAATAGATTACACGCCGAAGATCGAGGTTTCGAATCCCGCTCGTGGCACTGACTTTTTTATCTCAACTAAAAACCTTAATTAATTGAAATATATTTATTGGTCAAGCGTACCACTAAAACTAGTGAACTTAATCTTAATATGTAACAACGCAGGCGATTCGTACTAAACATCAAAACTACAAAAGTCATAGATGGCTAAGTACAATATTAGCTGGAAACAAATGTGGAAGTCGATTTCATTAATATGTTACCTGGAGAAAAAGCTACTTACAAATAAATAAATACTGCTATAGAAATGTGTGGTGATTAGTGACCGTTAATCGATATTTATTTGGAAATCATGAGATGCGGTCTGTGTGATGTGGGTTTCAGAAAAACATTTTCTTTATCGTGCCAACGTTTCGATCTTTATTGAGATCATCTTCAGAGCTCAAAGTGTTTGTTTTCTGCGTAATTGTGCCATTCTTGCGTGTAGTGTTGAGAGTGGCACACTTTGAGCCCTGAAGATGATCTCAATAAAGATCGAAACGTTGGCACGATAAAGAAAATGTTTTTCTGAAACCTACATCATACCAGACCGCATCTCACGATTTCTAAATAAATACTGTTATAGAAATGAAGTTTTTAGGCAATATGTTTTGATACATCGTCCGTAGTCTTGGGGTACTTCCTGGCGTAGGAATTTTAAATGTATACAGTGTCTTTTTTTTCCATTTTAACCCATCTACCACCCCGACGTACCTTAGGGAGACCTTATACAGGCGGACTACGCCAAACTAAAAACTAGGAATATGAAACAGAGAAGGGGGAAATGTTTGAGCTTATCGTCTTCCTCGGGAAGAAGTTTAGGCTCGAGGAGGGGGATTTATTTTCTTTGAGTTTAGATTATTTATTTATTTATTATAACTCCATCAGAAAGAATCTACAAGAGGAGTAGTCAAAAAAAGGCACATAATAACAAAAAGAACAAATGAACAATTAAGCAATAAAAATAGAAACACAAGGCTTAATGATTCAAGGCAAGTAAACATTTTAATTTAACTTTAACTGTATTAAAGGAATCGCGAAATACATCTATTTCATTAGAATAATAATTCAGCAATCTCATTATCCTCGGTAGGGGTGAATTTATCCATATTCTGTTTTTTAATTTGGAACAAAGAACAAATTATGGTTCCTAAGTGGTCGCTGAGGCACACATAGCGATAAATGTAAGTTCAGGATATCAATGGCCCCATTCCACAATTTCCAACCCCAAATGAGATCGGCAAAAATACGGCGGGAGCTAAGCGACTCAAGACCAAGCAAGTTAAGTCTTTCCAAGTAATTCAGGTGTGCAAGACCAAATCTGAAGGCCATTATCCTGGTTGCTTTCTTTTGTACTTTTTCCAAGTCGCTAATCTCACCAACGTAGTAAGGGGACCACACGACACTTGCATATTCCAGATGGCTACGAACGAAGGATTGATATAATATTTTAACTGCCAAGATGTTTTTCAAATCTCTAGAAAACCTAGTAGTAAAGCCTTACTTCGAATCTGTTTGATATGGTCACTGAAATCACCCTTTCTGCTGAAAACGACACCTGTCAACCTCTTCCAATCTTTGCCCATCAACGAAATAGTCAAAACAATCAAAGTCACGAGGTCGGATATTTTTAGAAAATTTAATTACCTTGCATTTGTTAATATTCAAAGGAAGACGATTCTGCTCACACCAATAATTCAAGCAGACCAGTTCCCTCTGTAAACCAACACAGTCGTGAGTAGAAGACACTGAATTAGAAATTTTTAAATCATCCGCCAATAAAGAAAACTTACAATCCTTGATTATACTACAGACATCATTGAAATAAACAA